CTACACATTGTTAGGTGTTGCAATTTGAATTTGCCTAGGCAGTTCCTAAGTTAAGTTTGAAGTATGCTGATAATGCTTAGTGACATTAGCCATTTATCTAATATCTTGCTTTCTTTGTTCTTAACTGCAATCTTTTACTTCCCTGTCCAGGACCCAACTGAGCAGGTGGCCATTGACAACTTCATGGTTCAACAACTTGATGGAACTCAGAATGAGTGGGGTTGGTGCAAGCAGAAGGTATCTAATCAGACTTCCTTTTGTTTATTTTCTATGGATAATCGCATGTCAATAATGCAGCATGCTGATCGCCACTACGCATCATGTGTTTTTTTCAGCTCGGGGCAAATGCCATCCTGGCTGTATCTCTCGCAGTTTGCAAAGCTGGTGCGGCTGTAAAAAACATTCCACTTTACCAGGTATTGCATGCTCAATTCTTGTGTCATGTAAAGTGAATTGGTTGAGATGCGGTGAAATTGCTGGAGATACAGTTTGTTTATGTAGTTAAATTTTTCTTTGCAGCTCTTAGATTATATTATTATGTCCTTGCATGGCCGTTTTAAGTCTGTCTTCCGGGTCCCTACTTTCCCAAATTCATCTGATAATATAACCCTTCTGGATGCAGCACATTGCTAACCTTGCTGGTAACAAGAAATTGGTTCTCCCAGTTCCGGCTTTCAATGTGATTAATGGTGGATCACATGCAGGGAATAAACTCGCTATGCAGGTATGATAGTCTGAATTCCACGGACAAATACGTATTCTTCATAGATATTCTGCAATCTTGAGAATCTGAATCTCCAATCTACCTATTTCTGCAGGAGTTCATGATTCTTCCTGTTGGAGCTTCATCTTTCAGAGAGGCCATGAAGATGGGTGTGGAAGTATACCACCATTTGAAGGTTGGTTGCAAACCATCTTTTCTCTATACATTCTTGTAACCGGGTTGCATCCCTTTGGTTCCCTGTTAATACTTAATATATTGCTTCTTTTTCGTCTAAAAAAAATCTTTTCTTTACGCTCTGTTTCTGTCGGCTCTACTGGCAAATTAGACTCCTATCCAGGATTTATTTGTCACTTAAAATTTGATTCCCTATTACTGATATGGTTTCATGTGTTCTCATTCATATCTCCTGCTCTACTTTCTTAAGTTGTTACAGAGGTTATTCTTGCTAGAAACTTCAAAGCAATTGCTAACTGGACATGTTTTTTCTTTTCTTGGTTCTCTTTCCAGGCTGTGATTAAAAAGAAGTATGGTCAGGATGCAACAAATGTTGGTGATGAAGGTGGCTTCGCTCCTAATATCCAGGTTAATCGCTTTTTGCTATTTCTGGTTCTTATCTTTAGTATTTATATTATGAGTTCTCTCATATGATTTTTTATTTCTTCAGGAGAATAAGGAAGGTCTTGAATTGCTAAAGACAGCCATTGCAAAAGCTGGCTACACTGAAAAAGTGAGTTTTTGTTGATCCCTCTTCATGAATCTATTTTGCTTTTTCGGTCATGAGGTAATCATTAGATATTGGACTAAACGTTTTCCTGATTATGTTAGGTCGTTATTGGAATGGATGTTGCTGCATCTGAATTTTATGGATCTGATAAAACCTATGACTTGAACTTCAAAGAAGAGGTGAGGTTGCTTTTAATTGACAAGTGCTCTTAATGATTCTAAATCACTTTGATCTTAGACTCTGTAAATCCACCTTGTTTAGTTGAATTTTTGGGAGAAGGATTATGCCAAAATTATTGTTATGGTTGTTTCAAGATCCGTTGTCTCTATATTTTGCAGTCCAACGATGGTTCTCAAAAGATTTCTGGTGAAGCTCTCAAGGATCTGTACAAGTCATTTGTTTCTGAGTACCCTATTGTGTCAATCGAAGATCCGTTCGACCAAGATGACTGGGAGCACTACGGCAAGCTAACTAGTGAAATTGGAGAACAAGTTCAAATTGTGGGAGATGATCTCTTGGTTACTAACCCTAAGGTACGGTCTTGTCTAACATTGATTAATTTTATTTGATTAACGAGATAAGAATACCATCTACTTAGCTCCCGTTTTCTCACTGCACGATATTCATGCTTGCAGAGGGTTGAGAAGGCAATTAACGAGAAGGCTTGCAATGCTCTTCTTCTCAAGGTAATATTGCGATTGTTCGGATGAATTATTGGAATTTTTCTTTCCACGCTGAAAAACTAAATATATAAAGTAGATCTTAAAGTGATGTGATTTGCGGGCAGGTTAACCAAATTGGATCAGTAACCGAGAGTATTGAAGCAGTTAAAATGTCCAAGCAAGCTGGCTGGGGTGTGATGGCCAGTCACCGCAGGTTAGAAAAACAAAATCATAATTTACTGAATCTTTATTTTTCATGTGGACATGAAGATCTAACTAGTTTTACCTTCTCTTTCAGTGGTGAGACGGAGGACACTTTCATTGCTGATCTTTCAGTGGGTTTGGCAACGGTAACCTTTCAATTTTTAATCCTAGTCCAAGACCATGTGTTTTTTAAATTTATTTTTGGTTTCTAACAGAAGTTGTGGGTATGATCAGGGTCAAATTAAGACGGGAGCACCATGCAGATCTGAACGTCTAGCAAAATACAATCAGGTTGGTTTCCCTGACCTATGAAGTTTAAAGAATGTTTGCTCTTTATGTAAGCAGTTTCCAATTACTTTGGTTATCTTGTGTGTATGTAGCTCCTGAGAATTGAGGAGGAGCTTGGTTCAGAGGCAGTCTATGCTGGAGCTCAATTCCGCAAGCCCGTTGAACCTTATTAGACTTGAGAAGCCATGGATGAGGGATTGCACCCGATAGCGAGCTTTTATGTCCCAAGGAATAAAGTTTTATGCTTTGTTCTTACTCAATAATTTTGACGACAAAAAAAAAAAAAAAGGTTTTGATATAAGGAGCTTTAGAGACTGCCAGCCGAATCTAGATACTTGGTAATTTATGTTGAGAGCATGTTTGTGAGAACTTTTTTTTGAGCTCCATAATTGTGAAATGAATTGTAGTTGTGGTGCGTTTTAACTTATTTGAAATGGTTGCCGGGTGCATCCTGAGAATTTTTCTACTACCCCTTTCCTTGCTGCAGTAGGCAAAAACATGGAAATAATTTTTGAAGTAGTGTAAAATATAAAAAAATAATTTACTGTGAACGAAATTCTGTTGAGGTTTTGGCCGTGAAAGAGAAATATTGGATGAATTCAACATATAACCGACTGCTGATTCAGACTTTCCAGGAATCTCCTGGGACGATGACTTTTTTTTTTTTTTTTTTTTTTTTTTTAAATTTTATTTAAATAAAAGATTCTTGGATATTTATTAATTAATTAATTAATTGACATCAATAATATTAATTTCCAATAACAATATATTTGCAAGAGCAATTATGTAACGTTTTATTTTTTTATTTTTATAAAATAAAGGATGACAAAATAGAAAAATGGTTTAATTTATCATCTTATGTAATAACTAGAATTCAGTACAAAATAATTTAAAAAACATTTGAAGATTTATTATGTAACTAGCTTCACGATGGAGGTTAGTTAGAATTGTACTTTTATTGTTTCTGAGTGAGTAATGTACTTGTATAATATTATTGTTAAAATTTTAATTACAAAAAATTTAATTAATATAAATAGTCTAGATTTTATTAGTATAAACATATTTTTTATTCTCCAAAACTTGAATATCAAAAGTAAAAAAGATACTAAATGCATTTTATAATCATACATTGCATTAATATTTAACATGATAAATTTGTTCAGTTGGGTTCCTATATCTACAAAACACAATATTCAATATTGTATTTTGTATTTTGTATTTTCATAGATTATGAAATTTTAAGTCTCCGCCCTTAACCTCTCCATTGGATTTGTGTATTTATTCGCAGTGTCTCCATGAACTTCTTCTTGGTATAAAAAAACAAAAATCAAAACCTCAATCAATGATTTGCAAGGCTGTGGGGGAAAAAAAAAACCTAACGAAGAGTCATCTTGTTTTGCAGGCTGTGGGGTTCGAACCCACGCGCACTTATGTGCAGAAGATCTTAAGTCTTCCCCCTTAACCTCTCGGGCAAACCTGCCGATGTATTTGATAGAATATCAACAATTATTTTAATTAAAGTACTACAAAATAAACATGAAATTAAATCAAAGATATTTTTATCGTCATATATTGTGTTCTATAATATTCATTGATTATTAGACAATTTAACTAAATGAATTTGTTCAATTTAGCCCTATATCTACAAACTAAAATGTTATATCTTCTATTGTTTGTACCATCGTATTTAATTATATTATATTTTATTAATCTTATTTAATTATATTTTCTATTATTTTCTACAAATTTAATTTCTTTTTTAGCCTCTTCGAACAACTTCCTTATTTGCCTACGTGGTCTTTCCTAATTTCTAGTTACATTCTTCTTATTTTTGATAGGTAAAATAATATCGATACATAATTAAAATTCTCACACATTTAAATGAAATCTTAAGTCTTCCTCCTTAAGCTTTATGGTAAACCTATATAAGTTTTGGTAATCATACGTTACATTTTATATTATTTATTGACAACCGAATACTTAATAGAACAAATTATGCAATTCATTCCTATGTGTAGAAACTATTTTCTATTGTCTTGTATTATAATATTCACTTCTATGGTATTTTATTGATTGATCTATTAAAATATTACATTCATCTTTTCATTTAATTTTTTGAGGGAACTTCTACATCTATTTACAAGTTTGTCTCAAATTTTAGGCTAATTTCTTTTGACTTTTTTGTAGCCATAACAATATGAAAAATAAAATTTAATAATTTACAAGTTATAGGGATCAAACTCATGCGTACTCACGAGCAAATAGATTTTAAGTCTTTCTCCTTAAATCTCTCAGACAAAAAGGAAAGGTGCTTACACCGTCAATACTAAACTAATGGTAAAAGTGTGCGAGTGAATAACTAATTAAATTAATTAATTGTAATTAATTAGATGTAATATTAATTAATTAGGATTATTTTTCTCAAACTAAACCAAGTAACAAGTGAAATAACTCAACGGGTCCAAAATCATTTCCTTCTTTTACGTTTTTTTTATAAAAAAACTAAGAATTAATAGAATTCAATTAAAATTAAAACTAAAGATAAGTATATAAATCATTAATCGGTAATCAAATCCATAATTGATGAACAAACAAGAAGTTACGCTAATAGTTCATTCAAAATTTAATATATTATAATTTTTATTAATTTCAAATTTTTAATTTAAACTGAACCGAAAATATGTAGTCCACATAATTTAGGATTTGAGGACTACATCTAAATTTAAATATTCGACACCTAAACTTCTAAGGCAAAATTACTTATTTAATAATTGTTTTGGAGTTAGGACTTTGCATGCAATTTGGTGAAGCTCTTAATTTTTTTTAACTTTAAGACTCCTTTGGTTCAAACCTACATACGAACTTCCTTTGCAAAACATCTTAACCATACCTTCCTAATTTTCAGCAATTCTTCTAACCTCCTGATTTGACATGATAAAAGATAACATTATCCCAGAATTTTGTACCAAAAGTTTCCAGCTTTTGATTTACATAACAAAGATAAAAGCTTTTTGTCTTAATGTCTTGAAAAAAAACCTGCCCAGCCAGCCACTTGTATATATAAAATATAAGACGCCTTGAGCATATGTCTTCCGGTTTGTCCGTAAGCTTTTGGCCAATTATAATTAATAAATAAATAAATAAAATACAAATTAATATTATGCAGGCTGTGGGGTTCGAACCCACGCGCACTTATGTGCAGAAGATCTTAAGTCTTCCCCCTTAACCTCTCGGGCAAACCTGCCTGTTTGTTTCTGTAATAAAAATTCGATCCAAATTCTACCGCTGGTACGATGGCCAGCCTTAGAAAGTAAGCTCCGTCATGCCTTTGCAAAGGGAGAGAGAGGAGGAAGGCAGAGATGGCTAAGCCATTGGAGATATTCTAGTTTCTCTTCCAATTTTATTCTTTCTTAGCCAATCTTGAATTCTAATTATAGTTAATCAGTTTTCATCTCTATAATTATAACATTGATTTTTTCAAAGTTGAATTATTCGCCTCCTTTTCCTTAAATTTCTTGGAAGGAACTACTTGGAATAAGAATCAAATTTCCACCCAATAAATAATTCAAAATAAGAATTGAAATATATAAAGATTAATTAAAAAATCACAGCTAAAAAGTAGAATTTAAATAAAATGTAACAGTGAAAAACATGATAAGCTTTGCTACTTAAAGATCGTTGACAAATAGCAAGGAACCAGTACGTATGGCACAGAAGTTATGGTCTTGGACGGAGTTGACGGACCACCCACTTTCACCGGCATTCTCATTTTTAAGGGGGCAATAAACTCCGCCCGAGTCCAAATCAATCAATTACCCACATTAAGGCCACTATAAAAGTAAAAATTAAAGATCAATTCAGAATTGAACGAGACATTTATAGAGTTCTTTTCTTTCAAACATAATATTGATTTTTTTTTTTTAAATCCCTGCAAATGCCCGAATCCACATCACTGAATTAGAGAGCAAACAGCCTCATTCAACATACAAAACAGTGAAACACTACTTAGACAGACAACACAGTTCGGATCAGACAAACACACCGTCCTACCTCCCAAAAAAAGAAATAGATAGGAATAATGTGCTACACTATCCTTTCCGTTTACTTCAAATCTAGAACATTTTCCATCTTTCCTTCCAGCTCTACTTCACAAAAATCACCAAGGTAACCAAAATTTAGACAGAGGGCAACCGATTATGCTGCAGTACCATGCTTGGCCTTTGTGTGAGACTGCAACCCAGTTTCAGAGGTAAATGAACGGTTGCAAGATTTGCATGGATAAGATCCAGCTGATTTTGGAGTTGTCTGCTGCTTTGTCTGTTCAGAGTTACCAGGTTTTTTCCCTCCCTGCTTTGAAGGGTAAGGAGTTGCAACATGGCCACCAGCTTTTTTGCAATCATCCACATGCAACAAATTTCAGCAAAGAATCAGTGACATATAAGCAAAACAAAACTAAGATCACATAGCACAGAGTTCCTTCTACAACATTAAAGAAGTAGAGGAAGAGAAAGACAATAAGCAGATATTATTGGAAATGCCTGAATCAGAAACAAAAATCTGATACTCCCAGTCATGCACAAGACCAACTCATAAACAGCTCTATGCAAGTTTTTTCTTTTGAAATAAGCTCTATGCAAGTTTTAATTGTCACATTAAAGTCAAATATGAAAATGTTATATTCTGAGGCATGATAAAATAAAAAACCTCATTCCAAGAACATAAGTTTGAAAATCACCAGATTTTTGGGTTGTGCCTAATTTTGCCTTCTTATCAGATACAGGTGTCTTCAGAGCTGATTCTGCAGGTCTCTTCTTGCTTGGTTCAGGCTTTTAAACCAGAGAGAAACCAAACTAGTTAGTGATTTTATAGAAATCATTACAAGGAAAATTTGCAGGCCATTGACAGAAGAGATAAACTGATTATGGCTGCATATACCTTCTTTGGAGTTTCATCATCAGAAGTATCATCCTCATCACTGTCATCATCTTCTTCATCACTTTCGTCGTCATCACTGCTTTCATCCTCCCCATTAACCCCCGGAACCTGAATCATCCAAACCCATGAAAAATCTAAAACGTTTATGGTTGCTCTCAATTTGTCATGGAACTCAAGAGTTGAATTAGATAAGTTGTTCAATTGCTAATAACTAGCAAGACTTAGGTCAACAACACAGAAGAGACATGATTAACAACTATGTTTAGTAAGTCAAACAATAACCAGATTTGCAGTCTTCAGAACTGGGTATAATGCATAGAAGCAGATTGATATCAAATAATTCACACAAAACAAGGAAAACAGAAGATATTTCTGAAGAAAAGGGAACTGGGAAAAATGACAAAAAAGAAGGTAAATCATGAACCGTTATTTTTTGGTAACAAATAAATTCAAGAATAACTCTGAAGTGGCTATTAACCTACCATAGATGAAGTCAATGCATGCACTTAAAAGAGAATTTTAAAAAAAGTAGAATCCAGAAGCATTAAAACAAGTTGCTGTGAAACAACAGAAGGTTTAGATAAGTAGGAAATTAAAAGATAAGAAAAGATAAATCCAATTCACAATCATAGGAATTGGAACAAATATAACTGCAGGGTTATTGGGTCCTCAATTCAATGAACAGAAATTAATAATTTTCATTCATAATCAGTATGTGTAGTAATCCATTCCAGTATTTATAGTTTGTCCACGTAAGCTTACTATGACTAGAATCTTTAAATAGAAAAGAAAAAAACAAATTAAGTCTTCTAACTAAATAAGAAATAAAATACTAAACTAATAATAATGAGCCTATGTGTAATAGTTTCTAAATAAACTAAATACCCTAAACAGTATATAATGATTATAATTATATAAATATTCCATGATATTAAAATATATAAATTCTAGAATCATCTTGTTCGGCATAATTTCCCCCACTTAGCAAAATCTTAATCTCAATCTCAAGTTTTGAAATGTTGAAATAGCAAGAAAGTGAAAGCTTGGACATGTCTTCCAAAGAATTGAAATTTGCAAACAAGATCATCATAAGAAAATTAGAATGCTTCTAAAAACAAGGATTTAGAAGTAGTACTCCCAATTAGACTGACAAAATCCATAAAAGGAAGAATTACCAAAGTTTCCCATTTGTTGTAAGGAATTGATGGGTCACATGGGCCTCTTTATTCTTTAAATCAAATAGAAATTATCCATCCTCAACCACAAAAATACCATTGGTACTACTGAATCAAATGATCCATCACTACATTACTCAATTTCTAATCTCCTCAATCTCATCTACTAATTTTCTCCCATTAGCTGGATGATCAACAATAATTTCCTTGATTACTTGATCTATTAAATTGTTCTTACTCGGATGGTCAATAGTAGTCATATCATCTTTCTCCATAGGAAGAGATAGATCATCGCATGTGCTGGGCGTTGCATTACCTTAATCATGGCAGGTAATATCTGACAATTTACTGACTGCAATGGGAGGTTTAAGGTTAGTTACACAACGTTTGAGAGTTCTCGCCAGTAACCCATCGGGAGTAGCAAAAACTGTCATCATATCTTTGAACACTATGTAGAGTTGTAGAAAGCAACTCTCCAGAGATGCAATCACTTTCTTCTAAAAGATTGATCAAAACTGCATGAATGTAAGAGGAAACATCCTTTGTTTGAGGTCAGATCTATTGTACAAAGTGCTTGAACGTTTCTATACTTTATAATTAATTAATACCACTAAATATAGTCTTAAGTCTTGCAACCATTTAAAATTAAGATCTTTCTGACATGCAATTGCCTTGTTCTGCCATCTAATATTTTAAATGTAGAAACAAGTAGCTCCAAAACCTTTCTCATCTGCGCATTATCTGGTGTAGCTATGCTAGTTGCTTACTATGCAGTAGCAAG